GTTGTTAAGGACTTTGGCCTTGTGCTAATGGACTGTTACGTAACGTTTGGTGTGTACGTGACCAATGAACGCCAGTCCCGATGGTTTTGGGGTCGAGGTGGCGAATATTGAAAAAAAAAAAAAAAATTCTTTATATTTAATCGAGTTTTCAAAAGAGCAGAATAAATATTATAAGTTTAAAGCGCCACAGACACTGAACCGTGATGCAGTAGCACTGTGATTGACGATGACACCCGGCATGATAAAAACGACGTTGACGACAGAAACAGAACATGTGTTCCTGACACGTGAAAATGGCGCACGAAACAGTTAAAAGTCTCGTTTAGTGGCGACTCCTGCTGATAATTTATTTCTTGCCCTCTTTGAAAGTACCTACCTTGTCATCTCGTGGTGTGATCTTCGCAAAATGTGTCTATTTTCTATTAATTTGTTTGTCAAAGGTCGAACCGACACAGAACGGTAGAAATTCCCGGGGAAATACTGCGCATGCGTCAAAAATGACCGACATATTATTTTAAAACAATCAAAAAAACAAAACGAGCATCAATGTTTAACATTTTAATTTCAGATATAATTAAGAAAAATGCATCTTCGTCTAATCAACTAGCAATTATTTGTGTTTAGCCCTTCAAGCCCATCACATAACGAGCTGAACAGGAGTAAATAAATCACGAACAAATACCGGAAGTAGTTATTGTCACATGATCAGAAGAAATCTGAAAAGATGGTAAGTGAGAAAATTATTTCGTTAGTCTTTCACTGATAATCTGAATTATTGTACGTAATTATTTGTGCAAAATTATACTACGTTATTAATGACACTCCCGTCTAAGTGCGCACTGACTTGACTTTCCGTAACGTTTCGCGGTTCATTTCATTTTTCGCCGATACGTCTATGTTCGGCGTCCGCTGTTTATGACAGTGAACGAGTCGATATCGACCCTTGCCTCTGTACTCGGTGGTCATCGGTGCGTGGGTGCCCCGTCACAATCACATGTTATTCGGCGTTTTATTAATTCTATGGTTAATTATCTCGTGTTATTCTGGAACGAGAGCAGTTCATTTATTTTTGGAGATTACAAACACCAAAAAATGGTTGCCGCTATTAAATATGTAAATAATTCTTATTGAAATAATCGGAAGTCTCTAATAGTGAACATTTTTAATAATTTAGGGGCTAGTACGAGTAAGATTCGCCCGCATGCTTGTTGCCGCTTATAAATATATGATAACGAACACATTGTTGAAGCCATTAATAGCCTGTCTTCCTATACTGGTACTTGCCGTATTTCAATATCAGTGCTACCATCAGGCAGTTGGCAGTGTGCCTGTTTTACACAGCTTTTTTTGTAGATAAGTCTTATCAAACACTTGGCTGTTTAAACCGTGTCACTGGTTGTGTCACATTATTACGCTATTAAATCTATAAAGGTTAGTGTTGGATGAACCATAATGTATTTATTATTTGAGTTTTTCATAAAAATGTGTGTATTTAATTGATTCTAAAGCCAATTCTAGCCGAAAAAAACAACACAGAATTGAATATCATCCTCAGATTTTGATCAATAATTATCAACGTGATCACAATTGAGTGAAACCAGTAGATGTTTTGTTGGTCTGTTCTGTAGAAGTTGGCACAAGTTGCTAATCAGCTAGGTTATCGTATTACTCTTAATTTTTTCAGTCTCCACATTCTTCATAATGGCAAGTACTTTATTTAAAAACACTCTTTACTGGACTGATAGTATATATAAATTGAGTTCATATTAAACTACAAATTCATATTAGCAATCTTTTCAATTATTCGACTATGAAGGACTTTGACATTTTGGAGGTGACAGAATTTTCAGAAGAAAATTAAATTTTTTTAAAATTATATTTATAAATTTCAATGGCAGTTGAATCCAATCAGCTCAGTACATCATTTAAAAATGTGTCAATATAAACCTCTCGTTTCAGTTTGGATTGTGAGATTGATAAATATTTATAAAAATGGGTTTGTTTGGTTGATAGTATTTCATTATTTTTCCAACTTTATTATCAATAGAGGTTATTTCACAGATGTAACTAGTTTTAGTTTCTTTTCAATGAGAAAAACATCAAGGTGGATTTGATAGTGTCTGTGGCACGTGGTTGAATGCTAAAGGAAAATGAAAAAAATTATACAGTATTAACGTTTATTCAATTATAGAATAACGTAAAAATATCAAAAAAAGTACAACCTTAAAAATTTATAACTAAAACAACTTCAGGAAAGTAACCTTAGGCACTGACAAACTGTAAAAAAACAAAACATAAAAAAAAAACAAAAAAACTAAATCCAGGGAAATATAAAGTCTGTTCATGAATTTGTATTAAACTATGGTATTTCTGGCTTCCAGGCTGGTGCAATGGAGAGAACCGATAAGCTGCCCAAGATCAGAGATGAGGAAGTGGAATCCAAGTTTGGATATGTGCATGCCGTGTCTGGACCTGGTAAGTAGGTCATGCACAGTGACTGTGTTTACAGTTATTATCTGTAGTTGATTACAGTAAACAAAATACCTGGTTGTACCGAGACAGCCATTCTCAAAAAGTGGATGTCCACATGATAAAAAAACGTTGTCCAGTTAATTTTTTTGTTGTTGCTTTGATTCAATTTCACAAATGTCACTGAAAAATCTATTGAGTTCTTTCTCACTGCTACAAAACCTTGCTGTATGTCCAACCAACAAACAAATACGTGTCATGTCATGAATCTAAAGCCCAAATTGATCAATAGTGACATGACATCGTATACCATATTTGCATCTTTATTATTAGAAGTGCACAAAATTTGCATTTATTGTATGATAAATATCATTAAAGAATGACTTATTTTGAGCATAGACTCTCATGTGTCATTTATGTAAATTCATGCGCAAACAAACACACTTCTGTAAAATAGCCTAAAATTTTGTGATTCAATGTAAATAATAACATTTTGTAGTTGATCAGGTTGTAAAGATCAACTTTAGACAATTTTCAAATTTGTTCTCTTGAATAACAGGTCAAGAAAATATCTATTAAAATTATAAATAAATTTATTATTTTATTTTGGCGAAACATATTTTCACTGCTTTCGATTGCCTTCATATGACAGTGTGACATCTTCATTTCATTTGCAAGAATTCAAATGTACGGTAGCATAGATGTTTCAGTTTGTTGCTAAAGCTGCATCCTGAGTGGTTTGACCTTTGACCCAAATGATCTCATTATAAAGATAATTGTATTGTTCAAATCAGATGTTAAATTTATAGCTGTGTTTGGCATTTATTAATGGGTGTATAGAGTTTAGAACTTCGGTCATCTTCATGTCTTCGATTCTAAGGCTTCAATAACCCTGACCTTTTTCTCATAGATTTTAGCCAACCCTAAAGTAAAGGGCTTTCAACAATATGCAATGTATGCGACATTGAACCACTGTATGTTTTTATGTATTTTGGATCAGACCTTACTTTCTGAGGTGACTGATCTATCCACTCGCCTCCACATCACTCGTCTAAGTCAAGACCTAGAGAAGCTAATTATCACTCTTCCAATCCTTTGCCATATTGAAGAGATTTTAATAGCATACGTATACTCGTAGCCTTCTAATCACTCGCGTTGCTGTTCTTTGATG